GCCCCCCCCCCTCCCCACCCCAAACCCCAAGGAAAGAAAATAGAAACAGTGAGAACCATCTAGTTGACGCATGGCTCGGATAGCATTTGTCGGAAAAACCCGAAGGCACAACCATTCTCATCCAACAACTTCAAAGCAATATGGTCTTCTCCCTTTCGGACTAGGAGGAAGAAACACATGTCATGCATTTATTGATTTGATACAAATGTCGGGTAAAGGTAACTTTCTCCCAACTAGGAGTCCTGCTTGAACATAATCACATCTCATGAATAGTTGAATCCAATGTGTTGTCTAAAATTTCCTGCTGCTTTAAGGGGAGAAGCAACTCATTAAGCAATGTGGAGTACATAGATGCATCACTTAATCAAGTGATTGATGACTAAACTTTTCAACAGGCCAGACCTCAGTTTCTACAACTTGGGAAAAAAAAATGTGTACCAAAATTGGGTATTATAACGGAAAAAGGCGGTCTAATGTGGTCTCTTTGGCAGTTGGCGACAAAGTAGCACACGTTACCTATTTAATCAGAAGATTCAGTTTACATGCTGTGGTGGCAATGGGAATTCTCTCCACAATGTGTGTGTTCATTATACTCATGGTTCTCATCGCCTGTAGCAGCCATGGAACCATAGGGTTGTGGTTCTGAGCGCGGAAATAATAGCTTCAGCCGGAAAGCATCTACACCGTTCAAATAATAATGAAAGAGTCTCTTTGCTCTAATGAATCCAAGACGACCATACAAAGCGAGTGCTCCTTTATTTGTAACTTCTGCTTCCAAAGTCACCTACAAAATATACGAAAAAATTAAGTGGAAAAATAATTGCTAGATGCTAACTCATGATAGTATGGTGCTTTATCATTTCATTTCTTTTTGAAAAAACGTAGGAAAAAGCTTAAGAGGTCAGATTTAGGTCCAACAGCAGAAATTCACCGAACACATAGTTATGGTTGAACTGCAACTCAGAGAATACCAAGCTATTGTGCATGCTCTAATCATGTGCGGCAAGTCACAAAGAATGGCTTACTCAAGCTCGTAATATAAAAAATGGATAGATCATCTCTGATACCATGGCTGCAATTACTTATGCTTCCCACAACATAATTCTTAAAGTCGCTGATATGAAAGTTTTCCTTGAGCCGAGGGCTATCGGAAACCGCCTATCTACCTTCACAAGGTAGGGTTAAGGTAGGAGTATACATTAACCTTCCCAGATTCCACTTGTGGGATTACACTGGGTTTGTTGTTGCTAATATGAAAGTTTTCAGCACGTTGTAACATACCTCTTCACAACCAGATTCCATCATCACCTTGATAGATCTTGTGACAAGTTCTGTAGCTGGAAGATGAAATACTACGGCTCAGTAGCTGATCGGATGTTATATCAAAAGCTCATATGCATGTATGAAGTCACAATGTCAATGGCATCATAATTATCATATTTCTTTTTTTTTTTTTTTAGTTCCCTTCCCCTTTGATCCCCCTTTGTTGGAGCTATATTGCTCTTTGGTGACTCGAACCCACAACTTTGGGGTTGCAGGTGGGGGCTGCTGACCATGGGGAGTGCTGACCATATGAGTAACCCCTCTTGTCATAATTATGATATTTCTTACATAGTAAAAGCCACAATCAAGTTCCTAAAATTCTACCAGGACTATCAAGGGCATCCTCATGGGAAAATCATTTTGGAAAACTTAATGGAAAAGGGTACACCAAAAAAAGTGCTATAAAATGTTCAATTGACAAAAAGAACAATATCATGTGCACGGTAAACAAAAAACAAGTGGTGAAATTACCCAGAAAACCAGCTTAACAAGGATTACTAGTAGGAACTTCTCCTTTGATTGTTTTTCCTATATTAGCTCTTTAATATACTGAATATAGTGCTAGGTGCATACACATATTCTGTTTCTTTTCCCTCTTTTTCAGATTCTGTAACAACACCAGATGAAGGAAAGTCAAACTAATCAATCAAGACTCAGTCTCGACCAATGTAACCTCACTGCCACATCCAATTTCACAGTAAGAATTTGCTTTTCGATGTGGAAACTGGAAAGGGGAATCAAAGAGAGTGTCTCAGGAAGAGGAGGCAGTAAAGGAAATAGAGAGATTTCTTGTGTTAAATTTTCAAAGAAATAACCGAAGGATTAGAAAAATAAGAGCTACTCAACAAGACTTGAGCAGTCTCTGCTCTATAGTTGCTGGAGATTAGGAGTGAGGAAGTTTGCACCCTCAGAACACATTTAAAAACCTTATTTTCTAATTTTCCTTCTCCGTGGCCGACAGGAAATACATTTGAGAACATATCCAGCTCATTTCTTAATGCTGAAAGAATACCCAAAAAAAGCCTAGACATCCACCCTTGTATTTTTTATCTGATTAAATGTCGACCCAATCAAACAAATACAATCTGCTTCTTCACATTGGCCCCTCAAAGAAACACAATAGGCTTAATCAGGTACATGATTCGGACGCGTGTCATATTAAAGACATCATCCGTAGTTCGAAGAGACTGCAGCAATATGAATGAAAGGTCCTTATCAATTTATCTAACAAAAAAGTGAAAAAATACTGACCGATTCCTTTGCCTCTGTAAGGCTTAAGAACCACAAGCATTGCAATGTAACCTCTGAAAGTACCGCGATGCTCTCCCATCTTGCAGACCACCGTCCCTATACATTTCCCCTTATGGAAAGCCTGCAAATATCTCAATAACAAAGAAAGAGTTATGCTCCTGGTGGAATATAACACAACTATGATAACAAAGGAGTGTGAGGAGTACCATAAAAGACAGTTGCGGCCAAAGATAGACAAAGTAGCGGTAAGTGAAGATGGAGTAGGGCTCACTAAGCTCTTCATCAACAAGGTTCATGATAAGAGGTAGATGATGTTCACCCCCATAGCTAACATACTCTATTTCCGATGCCTTGATGTCCAATTGTGGTTCATTTTCGCTCATTGTCTCCATAAGTCAGTGGTAGACCTGGCGGTGATCCAAAATAAAGACCGTGTGTAGGGTGCCTTTGAGAGAAACATAGCAGGAGTGTCACAGGAATCCAGTGTAATTTACGCGATAGCATCAAGTTTTTCATAGGAAAGATTGTTCACTAGCCAAATCACAAATTAAACTCTTGTGCAGCATTAACAACCATTGGAATTGGAAGATTCATATCTACAAGATGACTACACTTGGTACTTTCAACAAACATCAACCTTTTCTCTTTCCAGATAAGCAAGAAAAGCAAACATCAATTTTCTTGCCATCCGGTTACAAAAGTTTTATAATGCAATTTTAGTTCAACCTCAAGCAACCATAATAAGGAGCTTCCTTCTCTTATTACTTACCATTTCTTAAATTTTTCATTGGCTCAATGTGACGCCCATGACGGAGGGTGGGCCGACAAGGGGCAAGACTGGCAAGTTTCTAGGCTGGCAAGCTTCCGATGAAGAGGTGCACATGTCACACCTTAGGCGAATCCCACATCAGAATGGGAGGAAAGTGAAGAGCTTTACAAGTCGCAACACAAGTCACAAGGTATGCACGCTTTTAGGCTCAATGATAGCATTAGACCAAGGGATAAATCTGTGAGGTCTATTGGGTCAAAGCGGACAATAAGTATCATGGACTTGGGTCGTGACACTCAAATTTCTAAACATGAGAATTTCATTTACCTGACACACTACCAATTATAGCAGTTTTTAGTTGAACCCCACCTCATGGTCCTCTATCTCTATAGCTCTCTCCATAGGACATAATATTATTTGGGAACAGACCACACAAGAAACCATAGTATAAAGTATATACACACATTTCACGTGTCTTCTAGACTTAAGAAACATATTCGCTAGCTATCCAACATAGTGAGGGTCTTATGAAGACAAAGGGAGTCCCTATGTTTTTTTGAACGGTAAAATTCATAGCAAATCATTAAAATTAAGGCAAAAATCAAACTATTTTTTTCTTTTTATAATAGTGGCGTCAGAACCAACTTGCGCGCACATGTATTAATTCAATCGGTGGCCAGCCTACAAGCAAAGGTACCTCATAAACCTGCCCGCCTATTACAACTATGCTATTCAAACATATAAAAAAACTCAGGCACCTATACAACCCTCTTTAAATATATTTCAGACTAATCTAACCGCTTTGCTTTCTCAATGTTTACTCAATTTCAACCAGAGGTGGACCTTTGTATTATATTGAGGGGTCACCGGACCCCGTAAACTTCGTCAAAAGTCTTGTATATGTATATGTATATACCTTAAAAATGATTAAATTAAATCACTTGGCACCCTGAACACTAAAAGTATTTAGAGGGCACTGATTGAACAAAAATTGTGCCCCGTCGCCTTAAAATCTTGGGTACGCCTCTGATTTCAACTATGCTATTCAAACACAAAAAAACAACACAAGATACAAATTAAACTACATATCAAAGATTTCCTAAGCAATGCATTCTAACACCACAAATGAACTAAAAATGATCATTTTATATATGAAAGTTACATTTTTTTTTTCTTCCTCATTACTGAAAACCACTAATTATAGCTTCACTCATTTGAATTAAGTGCAAAAAATCTACAAATTTTCATTCTTTAAAAGAAAAACCATAGAACAAAATGAAAACTCGATTTTTTTTTTCATTTTAAAGAATCTACTTCTCAATTCAAAAGACATAAACAAACAAAAAAAACTGTTTCAAGAACCCAATTTTTTTTTGTGTGTGTGTGTGTGNGCTTACTTTACTTCAATGATGAAAAGCTAAGCTCATAAGCTCATTGGAAACTGATGGGAGAGACAATAGAAGAAGAAAGAGCTCTGCAAATTCTTCGATTTTTTTTTTTTTAAATTTTTGTTTCAATTTTTGATTGCATTTGGGGCATTCTTAAAAGCCTTTATAACTGGGCTTGGTTTTGTCCTGGCCCTCTTGAGGAACGTTTTAACTCGAGATACTCTTTTTTCGGAGGCATTTGCAGAAATGTCCCTTTATGGCTATATCTGTCTAAAAAAATAAGGACAAGTTACACATTTGATCAATCCACCAAAAATAAGTTTATTCGCTTGCCAATATACTAATAAATATATACACAAAATATACATGTTATAGTATGTATATTATATATCAATATACAAAAAATATAGTATATTTTACTGGCTACTATTTTTTTGAGCGGCTATATAATTATACTTCAATTACTTCTAGGCAAAATTTAGTCAACTGGATTAATGGGGATAGATTTTAAAGAGTGACCTTGAGAAAAGGTCACACTGTGCAAATAATTCCTTTTTTTTCTACAAAAAGCATGGCCATATTATTTTAACAACTAGCAGCCCTTTTGGATTAACTGAATGAAAGCCGCTTTATGCACTAAGCTTTATACGTGCTGAATATGATTTTATCATTAAACAATTACGTATTTAGATTGACTGCCAGTATAGAATGTACCAGTTCATGATAAATCCTCATAATATCGATATTATTTCTGTTCATATGAATCTGGAAATTGATTTCTTTTATGTGGTGCTAGAGTTACCTATTTTTTGTAGAGATGACGAATTTTAATTTTTCAGTTCAAAATTTTAGGACAAAAATATCTTGAATTTTTCTGAAGTTAAGATTTTTAGTTTAGAATTTTAGAACAAAATAAATACTGACTAATCTCTAAATAACATCCCTGATAATGGCTATCTATGCACTTTGCCCCCTATTTCTTTAAGGCTTACTGTTCTGTTTGTTGGGTGGATATGTAAGCAAGTGCAAATTTTGTTTGTTGGGCTTTTGACAGATAAGGTTGAAAGAAATTTAGAGAGTTGTATCTCACATTTGAAATGCAAAAGACTGTTTTAGAGCTTTCTTAACAGCTTGTTGGAGAGTTGTTACATGCTATTTCATAATGTATTATATTGTATTATATTGTATTGTATTGTATTGTTTGATGAATATCACGTTTGGATAGATTGTATCATTTATTATCGTTTCATGATGTCACGCACAAAAAATTTGAAAAATAAACTTGCAACATTACTAAGAAAAAATAGACATACACATAAGGCGTTCTGCCAACGAGCGAAGCCGATCATTCAAGAAATGGTATTCAATCTCGGCAAATGCGATACAGTGAAAGACGTTGTGGACTACATGGTTGGTGACGCCAAATATATAACGAAGCTAGCCAACTTTCACTTTCTAACGAGGTTGATGCGTGAAAACGAAAATAGCAAGACCATTCTAGTAATTTTAACTAATATAGTTATTTTAACTAATTTTGACTCTTTTACATTATTTTTATCACAAAATTGAAAAATACAAAAATAATTTTATTTTTTTCTATTTAATTAAGGTATTAGGTATTTTTAGAAGAATATTATTTTTTACCCATTTTTATTATAATTTTAAAAATACCAAAAATAGTTTCAACTTTAATTTTTAGTTTTATTTTAAATATAATAGTTTATTAAAATCAATCAAGAGTTATTTTATACCTTGTTATAAGTATTTTTAAAAGTAAATTAAATTTTCAGCATTTTTCTAGCCCAATTTGGTAGATTTAGAGCCCAATTCAACCCTAGCCCATGTTTTTATCTTACCCTAGTACATAAAAGACTAAAACTTTCTTCATCTTCTCCGGGAACCTAAAAATAAATACACACAAGACCAAACCTAACCAGCAACAGCGCCCACCACCCCTGAAAAGTCCATCGTCGGACTTCTTCTTCTTGTTATACCAAAAACCAACAGCCACTGCTGCTTACTGACCTCACTCGAAACGTCCACCACAACACAAGCCAACATCTCCAACCCTAGACAGTAGCAACAGCCGCCGACCCCTCACCCTTGGCACCCTTAAGAGACCAAGAACAAACTACCAAAAACCCTTACACACCCTTCTTTTTCTTGATCCCCAAAACGCCATAGCAGACCCCTCCTAGCCGTCCCTCCATTTCAGCCCCAACCCGCCGAACATCTCTTCTTCTTCTTCACCAAAAAATCACCAACCCACCCTAAGCAGAAGAAGCTAACAGCTGCTGTAAATCTGCCAAGGTCGAACCAGCCAGCGGTAAAACAAAAAAATTGTTCCCTCTCACAACCCCGCCGGCCAACCCTCACCAACCAAAAAAACAAAAACACATACGTATAGATACAGTAAAGAAGGCACGAATAGAGAGGAAAAATGGAGAGGCACTGGGAGTTTCGATTGTCTTTCTTAGTCCAAATTTCAGAAAAGCAAAAATACAAAAATAGTCCTTTTAAAAAAAATTCAGAAACATATAGAAAATAGCCTCTTTCCATTTTAAATTTTTTTATGCGGATTGGTTTTTGAAATGATGGGAATCCATTGAGTGATTATAGAGTCGGATTTGTTGCTATTTGAAGTTGTCGTCCGAGTTTCTGTCGCCGGATCGAGGTTCCCATCAATTGTCTGTCGGAATATTATTTGTTTTGGAACTTGGCTTTTGTTTTACATAACAAGGAGTGAATATTCATCCTTCAAGGTCCGTTTCTGCTTCGCTTACTTCTCCAGTCCGCAATTTAGTTAGTTCTTGTGAATATTTGATTAGTTGCTTTGTTTATCCACCTTAAATTAACGTGAAGATGTCTTGTTGAATTGATTCTTCGTGTTTGCTCTTAAAATTGAAGTTACCGGTATGAAATTTGAATAGTAAATTAAAGCAACATGATTTGGATGTCTGAAGTGTGTGATACTTAATTAGTTGTGGAATTGGTCTCTAAAGGAAACAAGCATGGGGGTTTGGACAAAAGTTTGAGTTGTTGGGTTTTAGATAATTCTCTAACTTTGATTTCTATTTTTATCTATGTGGGGTCGATAGTTGCATGCTTAGGCCGACAACACTCGGGTAGGCAAGCCTTAGGAGTTTGTTAGTTTCAAGGCGAGAGGTCGTTCCCTTAGTTAAATTTATTCGGGGAATGCCCCGAGAGATTTGTATATATTTTATTTCAGAGGTATGCCCCGAAGTGAATGTAATTGGAGGCTGTGGCGAATACCGTAGAAGAAATAGCATATGATAATTTAGAACTTTAATTTTTCTTCTTTTGATTTTCTTTCATTTAAGGGAGGGGGGACGACCTTGAGCCTCTTTTGATTGTTTATTTTCTTTTTGTGTGTTATTACCTCAACTCGAATATTTTAAAAGCCGATTAGATCAAGTACGCAACCGTACTAGTTATGGGACTTGGGGAGTGCTTAACACCTTCTCCCCGAGTCAAATGAACCCCCTTACTCGAATCTCTGGTGCAGACTTATTTTTGGAGTCCAAAGTGTTTTAAAAGGAAAATCATTTTAAAAACGTTGATCTGGCACACCAAAAATATTGTCAGGTGGCGACTCTGGGTTATTTCCTTTTGAATACAATTTTTTTCACGTTCTAATTGGAACCCTTTTGAGCTTCAAATCTTTTTATTTATTTAAGAGGGTTTAGTGAAGTTTGTTGTAAAAAAGAGGGTGTGATATCTCTGGCGACTTTGCTGGGGAGTTGCACGTTCGAGCTAGTACTTGATCTTGTTGGCTTTTTAGGATATTCGATTGAGGTTTCTTATGTGTTTTGTTTGCTTTATTTGATTTTTATTTTGTTTATGTCGTTTTATTTTTTGCTAGCTGCTTATTTATTTACAGTTTTTCCTTTATGTGTTACTGCTTTATAAATTGTCATCATTTGCATAACCATGAGTCTTCTTTTGCAACAATTCTTCCGGAGTACGTTTGAGCGTACACGACCTTTTTGTGAGTCACCCGTGTCTTTAGGGGGTGGCGTGAGAGCGTGGAGTGGGTGTACAGCTAGAGCAGCCGCCATCGACCGCGTGCCACCCCGAATTTCCTTGTTATTGGACCCCAAACTTAGGTCAGCCTTTAGGTCACTTTTATTTGCATCATGTCATTTACATCTAGTAGGGCTTGGTCCCAAACACCGTGTCCCTTTGTAGGAAGCCTATCCAAATTTTGTCAAAAATGGGCCCGTGGCCTAAAAAGACATTCAATCTTCCCTATGTGATACATGTTGCATCTTTGAGGGTAAAAAGGTCATTTGGCGGACCGATGTTTGGGAAAGAAGGGTGAAAAATGAAGCAAGTAGGGCCTAGTTATATTTTTATTTCACAACTTTTTCAATAAAAAAGGACCAAAAAAAAGATGAAAATGAAAAAAAAAAGGATTAACACCTTCCCATCATTTTCCAAAAAATCAAAAAGAAAATAAAAAAGAAAAAGAAAATCCAAAAAGATTTTACACTTTCCCATCATTTTCCAAAATTCAAAAAATAAAAAGAAAATCCAAAAAGATTTTACATTTTCCATCATTTTTCAAAAAGACAAAAAATATATATTTTTCAAATTAGCGTCATTTTTTAAGTTTTCTCCCATATCCAATCTTCCCGAACTATGCGAACCTGATTCTCATCTTTTAGGACGTGATACGTAAGCAACCCACATAGGGTCCGATCTTCCTAGTGAATCTTAGGTTCTTGGCTTTGTGGGGTCTTAGCTAAATCTTGCATGTCTAGCCACTTTTGGCCAAACTAGCCATTCTTGCAAAATGGGATCATTTTCGTAAAGTGGTTCAATTACCCATGTCTTAGGATCTTGAGTTCGCAACTAGGTGTCATATTACTTTAAGGTCCGTCCTTTTTAAGTTTGCATCTTTGGCCACTTCTGGCCATATCAGCCAGTTTTTGCAAAATGGGTCATTTTTGCAAATTAATTCTGGGCCATGATTATTGAGAGTTTGAATTCATATAAGCCTTAGGGAGGTATGTCCATGTTTTTGAGGTCATCTTTCTTGAGTTTGCGCTAGTAGCCACATTTTGGCTACGTAGGTCATTTTGCAAAAATAGCCT